GAGGGGCAGCCCGTCGCAGTCACTCTGTGATTTGCCGAGCTGGTCTGCGTGGCAGCAGTGCTGGTGGCCGAATCTGGAGACTCAGAGTTGAGGTGCTCTCAGATTGCGCTGGCGGCTTGTTGCTATGTTTCATTTCTTGGTTTGGTCTTGATGGAGCTGGCGCCCCCCCAGCGCCGCCAGCTGCAGGGCTTTTTGTGGAGAGGGCCGTTGAGTGAGGTACTTTCCTTCACCCCTGCTGTCTTCCTCCTCCCTGGCTCTGTCGGCCGAGCCTGCCTGCGTTTCCGTTCTGTTCAATGCTGTATGTTCAGGCAAACCCGCCAGCTATTTGCATCTGTTTGTGCGGCATGTATTTGCATTTCGCCGCACGCCGCGTGCCGTCGCAGCAGCGCGGCAGCGTTGCGAATGCTTCCCGCCTTCTCGTGCCCTTCTCAGCGCCAGTTGGCTCTCCAGGTTGCCTTCCCTTTGGTGGGCCATGGTGTGTGCCGTTCGCGAGCCGTCGGGCTTGCCTTCTCCTACCTCCTGGCAGGCGGCTGGTGCGGCTCTCTCCAGCCAGCGCCCTCTCCTCTTCACTCGGTAGGTGAGGGAGGCAGGCAGCGGCCACCAGCCACCGTTGCCTGTGCACTGCGGGCTGTGCCCTGTGAGCCTGGCGAGGCGGTCGCATCGTGTGCGTGCGCCATTTGGGGCACGGGGGCGCCGCTCAGGTTCTGAGCTCCCCGACTGGCTCCTCGGGCGGCTCCACTCGCCAGCACGTCTTGGGCGCAGTCTCCTGGCCTGGCCACGGGGGCATGCCCTGTCGCGTGGCTTGCGTAGCTTGTCTGTGCAGGCATTGGCATTGCCGTCACAAGGTCGGCGGCATATGGCCTGCAGTCGCCTGCAGGCAGGGTGCCTCAGCTGTCTTGCGCGCCGCCCAGCCAGCGCGCAGAGGCGGGTTTTGGCCGTACTCGGCGGCCACCTGGTTGCACCCTCAGGCGTTAGAAAGTGAAGCGGTCCTTTTCCTCCTCCTCCTCCTCCTCCTCCTCCTCCTCCTCCTCCTCCTCACCCTCCTTTTCCTCCTGTTATTCCTCCTCCTCCTCCTCCTCCTCCTCCGCCTGCATCCTCCTCCTCCTCCTCCTCCTCCTCCTCCTCCTCCTCCTCCTCCTCCTCTCCTCCCCCTCATGCCCCTCCCCTCCTCCTCCTCCTCCTCCTCCTCCTCCTCCTCCTCCTCTCCTCCTCCTCCTCCTCCTCCTCCTCCTCCTCCTCCTCCTCCTCCTCCTCCTCCTCCTCCCCTCCTCCGTCTCCCCTCCTCCCCCTCCTCCCTCCTCCTCCTCCTCCCCCTCCTCCCCCTCCTCCTCCTCCTCCTCCTCCTCCTCCTCCCCTCCTCCTCCTCCTCCTCCTCCTCCTCCTCCCTCCTCCTCTCCCCTCCCCCTCCTCCTCTCTCCTCCTCCTCCTCCTCCTCCTCCTCCTCCTCCTCCTCCTCCTCCTCCTCCTCCTCCTCCTCCTCCTCCTCCTCCTCCTCCTCCCTCTTCTCCTCTTCCTCTTCCTCTTCCTCCTCCTCCTCCTCCTCCTCCTCCTCCTCCTCCTCCTCCTCCTCCTCCTCCTGTGCTCCTCCTCCTTCTCCGTGCTCCTCCTCCTCCTCCTTCTCCTCCTCCTTCTCCTCCTCCTCCTGATTCCTGATTCCTGTCGCCTATATGGTGGTTCAGACGAAGTCACTCCTCCTCCTCCTCCTCCTCCTCCTCCTCCTCCTCCTCCTCCTCCTCCTCCTCCTCCTCCTCCTCCTCCTCCTCCGTCCCTCCTCCTCCTCCTCCTCTCTTCTCCTCCTCCCTCCTCCTCCTCCTCCTCCTCCTCCTCCTCCTCCTCCGTCTTCTCCTCCTCCTCCTCCTCCTCCTTTTCTCCGTGGCCATTTTGGATCAGACCATGTTAAACCATGTTAGCTCAAGCCATTTTGGCTTCAGTCCGCGGCGGGCAAGGCTGTTCAGCCTGGCAATTCTTTTGAGCCTTCGCTGCAGCATGGGCTTGACGGCGCTCCCGCGGGTGTCCAGGGCGCTGAGTGGCTGGAGGCGCCGCGCGCCTCGCCGCGCTCGACGCCTGCTGCCCTGGGAGGTGGTGGCAGGCATCGCGATGGGCCTGTGCCGCATCAAGGGCGCGGTACAGGCGCTGTCCTAGCTGCTGACGGTGGACGCCTGTGTTCGGCCAGGCGAATGTCTGGACCTCCGCGTCAAGCAGGTGCTGCGAGTCACCACGCAGCAGCACATGACGCGCGCCCTGATACTGTTGCACGCCGCCGAGCCAGGGGTCTCCAGCAAAGCGGGCGCGGGGGACGAGAGCCTGATCGTCAACCGAGTCTGGCTGTCCACCGCCATCATGACGCACACCTCGAGCCGGCCGCGAGAGGGCTCTGGGACGTCAAGCTGAAAGACTTGCGCGCCAGCTTCCTGACCGCAAACTCAGGTTAGTCCTCTGCATGTGGCGCCACTCCAGCGCCAGCTTGGACAGGCTTGCCAAACGGCTCGACCTCGCCGAGGTTCAGCGTCGGGGGAGGTGAAGAACGGCTGCCTTCGTGAGGAGATGCGAGAAGCGGGCCCTGGTTCAGAACGTGCACAACAGCCTCGACAACCGGTCCCAGGCGTTCTGCGACAGGAGCGCCCCCGAGCTCGAGCACAAGTCGACAACGGCACGACTTTGATGCGACCCACCAGCGACTTTTGTTTGTGGGCGAACCAGTGCAAAGTACCCTGGGTCATCGATAACCCTCAGTCGAGTTTAAGATGGCACGCCGAAGAGTTCCAGGAGCTGAGAGTTTCCCCCCAAATGGCCTCCGTCACACCTCATGTGTGTGTGTTTGGAGCCCACTGGAAGAAACTCACCACGATTTGGACTTATGGGCTTGATTGAAAATTCGCAGCGAACGGGTTCCAGATGTGGGAGCTTCGGGTGTACACCATGCGAGTGTTCGGGCAAGCCTCACCTTATATTGTCGGGTCCTGACCCCACGGGGGTGCGCTGGAGCCGCTTATCCTGACAGACTCGCGTTGACCCTGGCAGACCTCTGTGTGGATGGTGGATTTACTCGCGCTGAGAGGCTCCAGCTCCTCGTACATCCCAGTGGCGCCGTGGGTGAGGTCAAAAATGAAGCGGGGCTACCCTTGAACCGCCAACGTGTTTTGCGCAATTTGGTGGTTTGTCAGCAAGCTTCCCCTCGGCACGGCCCTGCGTTCGCTGCGCCTTGCCTCACCTTCGCTGTGTCGGCTGCTCAACAGATCCTGGCACATGAACATGGAACGCCATGATTGATTCTCCTCCCCTCATTCTCCTCCCTCCTCGGAGCCTCCGCGGAGGCCGCCGTGGCCCACGGGAAGAACCAGACCGTTGCTCCCCCCAAGCAGGGCCTGCGCAGAAGGTTCTTGGCGGACAGTAAAGCGAAGGTATGCGATGGCAAGACGAGGATAAGTTCAGATGAGGGTGGATCTTGAATCTCTGCGAGTTGACGGGTCTGAAGGATATATCAGGCGCTGCGGCCGTTCCAGAGCGCCCCAGGACGTTCTAAGAAGGTTCTGGAGCGTTCTGAAGCGATATACGCATCTGCATCTCGGGCCTGCCTGGCGCAGTTCAGCCCAGCCGTTCAGACACGCAGCCTTCGCGAAGTCTCGGCTGAAAACGACTCAGGGTCAAGCAAACGAAGAGACCCTGAGCAAGGGGAGTCGCCTTGCCAGGGGCCGCCACCAGGAGATCCGCACGCTGTGGGCATGACTTCTTGTAGGGCCTCGTCCTGCCCTTGTGCTGGGCTGCGCTGTCTGGTCGGGCCGGGATCAGCCCACGTCGCGCTGCTCCTCACGCGAGACTGGGGCCGCCGGCGCCGCCCAGGAAGACGCACGCCGTCTGCGCCGGGCCCCCCCGTCTCTCCGCCCCTCCGCGGCCGCTTCTCGTCCCTCGGGGCGCAGTGCCCCGCCGCGCAGCCCGTCGTGCTCTCGGCCGCGACGAGCCTCGTGTCGCTGCGGACCAAGTTGTGCACCACCTGCTACGTATCACGACCAGTGTTCCACCTCTCCGGCGTTTCTCGCTCCTCGCGCTCCCATCCCACCAGCGTCGTCGTCGTCGTCGTCGTCGTCGTCGTCGTCGTCGACCACCGGAGGGCCGGCGGTCGAGAGGCCGTGGGGATACAGGGGGGAGCCCGGCGGCTCGCAGGCCGCGCCGTGCCCGACGCTTGACGTCGGTTGCACTGCCGACGTCGGCGGGGCACACCTCACAGCTCTGGGCAGGTCGGTCGCTCCATCGGGGCCTCGGCCGATCGTTTCGATCGGTCGGTCGGTTCGGTCGGTCTGGGCGTCGAGGCAACGAATCATTCAAATCATCCGAGGCATCGATTGGGCGGCATGGATACGTCGGCCGTTTTGATTCGATTCGGTTCGCGGCAAGACGATCCATCGATCCTAGCATCTGAATCGGCGCGATCGGCTGATCAGTTCGATTCGATGCATTTCGATCGATGGGTCGATCAATCCATACATCCATCGGCTGTTGTCGAATAAGGCTTGCGGGAGAGGTTCTGATGGGAGGTTCTGGCATGATTTGTGAAACAGCGATGTCTGGCCTCAGTTGTCAAGCCGGTTACCCGGGGCTCTTATTCGTCGCGCCATATCGTCTGTGCAATCATGTGATCTACCATGCTATGCCATGTTGTGCGGTGTGCGTCCATGTTTCGCCATTGCAGTCTGCGCAATGCCGCGATCTGGTATGGCATGCTGTGCTAAACTGCGCGATTATCTTCAGTGGTATGGGAAGATAGGAATTGCAATGTTGTGTCCCACCATGCCATGCTACTCTACGTGTGAGGTGAAGTGTCATCTTTATACAATGCTACGAAAAGCTGCCATCGCATGGTGGCACAGGAGGTGGTCTGATACGTTATTGTGTGCTTTGCATTGTGTTTCTGCGCACCTCATTGCGATGCATCTTGTTGTGTCGCACTGCGCACGCGTGCCTTCAGCAATAGACAGTCGCCCTAACGGGGGTCGCGCTGACTTGATTTGGGCGCTGTCCGAAACGCTCGGGTTTCACCATGTCGGGAATAGCGTGGCCGGCGTCTTGGGTCTCTGCGTCGCTTTCGGCAAGATCTGGGGCCCCGGATGGGGCCCTAGACCCTTGCGTTCCTCTCCCCCGCCGCCCCGACCGCCGCCGACGTCGAACTCCTCCCACCGCGCGCATTCACTTTCTGGCGAGGCAACTGGCGCGCCACCGCCGCTCGCTGCCGACCTGGCGCCGCCGGCCCCCGCGGCCGCGCGGCCCGAGGCCACCCCCGATGCCGACGCGCCCGCCCCCGCGGAGCCCCCGGCGGGCGCCCTCGCCGCCACGGGGAACCGCGCAGAGCCCCCGGCAGGCGGCGAGGCGGAGCCCCCAGCGGGCGCCTTCGCCGCCGAGGGGTCCCCCGAGGTGGCCGCCCCCGCGGAGCCACCGGCGGGCGCCCTCGCCGCCGGGAAGAGTCCCGAGGAGGCCGCCCCCGCAGAGCCCGAGGGTGGCGCCGGGGCGGCCGCCCAGCCGGGCCCCCAGGTGGGCGCCCTCGCCGCCGAGGGTGTCTCCGAGGTGGCCGCTCCGGTTCGGCGTGCCAAGGGCCCCGGCGTGGGGGCGGCGGGCCGGGGCGGCTCGCCCTCCCAGCGCTCGCCGTCAGCAGCGGCCGGAGGCGGGGGCGCAGTGGGCCAGGCGCCGCACGCTGCTGCTGCCGACTCGTTGGCTCGACGGGTGGCCGAAGATGCCCCGCCGGACCAGCTCTGCTCTTCGGCTGCGGCCGCCGACCTTGGGCCTCAAGCCTCGGCCCCGGCTGCCTGCCAGGCGGTCGAAGAGCGGGAGGAGGAGGGGGCAGCGGCGATCTTGCAGGGTGCGGTGGACATGGTGCCTCGAGCTGCTGCCGCAGACCTGTCGCCAGCGGCTCGGGAGGCAGAGGCTGCCCCGCCAGACCAGCCCGCCTCCCCAGTCATGACCGACAGCCTTGAGCCTCGCACTGCGGCCACGGTCGAGGAGGAGCAGCCGGCGGCTGCCTTCCAAGGAATAGTAGACCGGGCGTCGCCAGCGGGTGAGCCAGCCGACCTCGTGCCGGCGGCCCTGGAGGTGGCCGAGGCTGCCGAGTCAGGGAGGCTCGCCTCGCTGGCCGCGGCCGGTGAGCTTGAGCTGGAGGTTGCCGAGGTTGCCGAGTCAGAAAGGCTCGCCTCGCTGGCCGCGGCCGGTGACCTTGAGCCTGAAGCTTCCCTCGCTTCTGCCTGCGGCCCCCAGCCCACGGCCAAAGAGGAGAGGGAAGCGGACGCCGCCGAATCTGCGGCGGGCCAGGCGTTGCCAGTTGCCTCTGCGGGCCAGGATGCCCCACCAGACCCGCCCGCCGACCTTGGGATTCGAGCCCCTCCGGTCACAGCCGCGGCCCCTCAGCCAGCGGCCGTAGAAGAGGAGGCAGTGACGGCTGACTTGCACGATGCAGTGGACGTGGCGTCGCCGGCTGCTGCAGCAGGCCCCTCGCTGGCAGATCGGGAGGTGGCCGAGGCAGGTCGGCCCGCCTGTCCAGCCATGGCCGCCGACCTTGGGCCTCGAGCCTGCCCAGCCACGCCCGCGGCCGTCCAGCAAGCGGCCGAGGAGGAAGAGAGGGCAGCATCTGCTTTCGAGGATCTGGTGGACCAGGAGGCCTTAGCTGCTGTGGCCGCCGACCCCTCGCCAGCTGTTCGCGAGGTGGCCGAGGCTGCCCCGCCAGACCGGCCTGCCTCTCCAGACATGGACCACGATTTCGGGCCTCGAACCTCTCCAGCAGCCGCGGCGGTCCAGTTGACAGCAGCTGAGGATGGTGCGCCAACGGCTGCCTTCGAGCGAGTAGTGGACGAGGCGCTGCCAGCTGCCGTTGCCGACCCGTTAGCAGGAGTTCAGAAGATAGCCCAGGCCGTCCCGAAGGACCAACCCATCAACCTTGTACCTCAGACCTCTCAAGCCGCAGCCACTGCCGCCAAGTCCGCGGCCGAAGAGGATGAGGAGAAGGAGGAAGCGAGTGTAGCGGCTGACCTGCAGGCTGCAGTGGAGCAGATTTCGCCAGCTATAGTCGCCGCCGAGCCCTTGCCAGCGGCTAAGGAGGTTGCCGAGGCTTCCCCGCCAGACCGGCCACATTCGATGGCTGTTGCCGCCGCCCAGCTCCCGCTCGAGGAAGAGCTGGGGGCAGCGGCTGACTTGCAGGGCGTAGCGGAGCAGATTTCACCAGCTCTTGTTGCCGCCGAGCCCATGCCAGCGGTTGAGGAGGTGGCCGAGGCTGCCCCGCCAGACCGGCCACCATCGCTGGCTGCTGCCAGCGACCCCGAGCCTGGACCACCTCTAGAAACAGCCATGGCCGTCCAGTTCGCGCCCGAGGACGAGGAGGAGGAAGAGGAGGAGAGGGAGGAAGTGAAAGAGGAGAAAGAGGAGGAGGAGAAGACGGCTATTGCCTTCCCAGGTGCAGTGGACGAGGCGCTGCCGGCTGGCCCTGCCGAGCTGTTGCCAGAGGTTCACGAGGTGACCGAGGCTGCTCCGCCAGGCCAGGCCGCCTCCCCAGCCATGGCTGTCGACCTTGAGCTGAAATCTTCGGCCGATGAGAAGACAGCGGCTGTCGCTGCTGACGTGTTGCCAGCTATTGGGCTGACCGAGACGGCCCTGACAGACCAGCCACACTCGCTGCATGTGATCGCCTACCTTGGGCCTGAATCCTCTCTGGCAACACCCGAGGATGAGGAGGGGGCAGCGGCTGACCTGCAGGGTGCAGTGGAGCAGATTTCGCCAGATCCTGTCGCCGCCGAGCCCGTGCCAGCGGTTGAGGTGGTCCAGGCTGCCCCGCCAGACCAGCCTGCCTCTCCAGACATGGCCGACGGCCCGGAGCCTCGAACCTCTCCAGCCTCAGCCGCGGCGGTCCAGTTGACAGCAGCTGAGGATGGTGCGCCAACGGCTGCCTTCGAGCGAGTAGTGGACGAGGCGCTGCCAGCTGCCGTTGCCGACCCGTCAGCAGGAGTTCAGAAGATAGCCCAGGCCGTCCCGAAGGACCAACCCATCAACCTTGTGCCTCAGACCTCTCAAGCCGCAGCCACTGCCGCCAAGTCCGCGGCCGAAGAGGATGAGGAGAAGGAGGAAGCGAGTGTAGCGGCTGACCTGCAGGCTGCAGTGGAGCAGATTTCGCCAGCTATAGTCGCCGCCGAGCCCTTGCCAGCGGCTAAGGAGGTTGCCGAGGCTTCCCCGCCAGACCGGCCACATTCGATGGCTGTTGCCGCCGCCCAGCTCCCGCTCGAGGAAGAGCTGGGGGCAGCGGCTGACTTGCAGGGCGTAGCGGAGCAGATTTCACCAGCTCTTGTTGCCGCCGAGCCCATGCCAGCGGTTGAGGAGGTGGCCGAGGCTGCCCCGCCAGACCGGCCACCATCGCTGGCTGCTGCCAGCGACCCCGAGCCTGGACCACCTCTAGAAACAGCCATGGCCGTCCAGTTCGCGCCCGAGGACGAGGAGGGGGCAGCGGCTGAGTTGCTGGGCGCAGTGGCCCCAGCGGCTACCGCCGCCGACGTACCGCCAGCTGCTCCAGAGCTGGCCAAGGCTGCCTCGCCAGAACGGCCTGCATCGCCGGCTCTGGCCGCTGACCTCCAGCTCCGCGCAGCCGCAGCCGCCCCGCCCGCGGCCGAGGAAGTGGCAGCGGCCGCCAGCGGGCCAGACCAGCCCTCCGTGGCCCCCGCGGCTGCAGCGAGGCGCACGGCAGTCGACTACGACGCTCGGCGACCGACCGACCGACGGCCATGACGCGATAGCGAGCAACCACGACAGCGACTACGCGATGGCGAGCGCCGACGACGACGACGACGACGACGACGGCGACGGCGACGGTGACGACGACGACGACGACGCGACGGCAAGAAACGAAGACGGCGACGACGACGACGACGTCGACGACGACGGCGACGACGACGATGACGACGACGATCGACGACGACGACCACGACGACGGTGACGGCGACGGCGACGACGACGACGACGGCAAGAAACGAAGACAGCGGCAACATACGGCAACGACGACGAAGTCGACAACGACGACGTCGACGACGATGACGACGACGATCGACGACGGCGACGACGACGGCGAGCGACGACGACGCCGACGACGACGGGGGTGGCGGCGGCGATTACGACGACGACGACGAGCCATGACGACGACGACGACGGCGACAACGACGACGGTGGTGGCGGTGGCGACGACGACGACTACGGCGACGACGACGAGGGCGACGGCGATCGACGACCACGACGATGACGACGACGTCGACGATGACGACGACAACGACGACATCGACGATGGCGACGGCGGCGACGCCGAGCGACGACGACGACAACGACGGCGACGGCGACGAAGACGACGACGACGACGACGAGGGCAACGACGACGACGACGACGACGACGACGACGACGACGACGACGACGACGGCGTGCGACCATCACGACGACGGCGACGGCGACGACCTCGATGACAGCGACGACGACGACGACGACGGCGACGACGACGCGGCGGCGTGCAACAACGACGACGACGAGGACGAGGACGACGATTGACGACAGCTGCGAGCGACGACGAGGACGATGGCGACGACGACGACGATGGCGACGTCAAGAAGCGACGAGGACGGCGAGCGACGACGACGAACACGACGACGGCGACGGCCACGACGACGACGACGACGACGACGACGACGACGACGACGGCGAGCAATGACGAAGATGACAGCTACGACGCGACGGCGACGACGACGACGACGCGACGGTGATCAACGACGAACACGGCGACGACGACGACGACGACGGTGGCGGCGACGACGACTACGACGACGGTGAGCGACGACGAGGGCAACGCGACGGCGACCGACGACGACGACGATGGCGACAGCAGCGACGTCGACGACTACGACGACGACGGGGACGGCGACAGAGACGACGAACGACGACAACGACGACGATAACGACGGTGGCGACGACGACGACGACGACTTCGGCGACGACGACGACGACGATGATGACGGCGACGACGACGACAACGACAACGACGACGACGACGGCGAGCGATGACAACGACGACGGCGGTGACGACTACGAAGTCGACGACGACGACGACGGCGAGCGACGGCGACGGCGAGCGACGACGGCGAGCGATGACGACGACGACGACGACGGCGACGACGGCGACGGCGGCGGTAGCGGCGGCGATGCTGCGCACGACGACGACGACGACGATTACGACGGCGACGAGCGACGACTACGACGATGACGATGGCGACGACGACGACGACGGCGACGACGACGACGCGACGGTGAGCAACGACGACGCCTAAGACGACGGCGATCACGCGACGGCGAGCGACGACTTGGATGGCGGCGACAACGACAATGACGATGACGATGTGGACGAGGATGTGGGCGACGGCGACGGCGCGACGGCGAACGACGATGACGACGACGACGACGACGGCGGCGGTGACGACGACGGCGACGACGAACACGACGGCGGCGACGACGTCGACGCGACGGGGAGCGACGACGATCACGACGAACAAGGCAGCAACGACGACGACAAACACGGCGACGACGACGACGACGGCGACGGCCACGACGACGACAACGGGGATCGACGGCCACGACGGCGAGGACGCAGCGACGACGACCACGACGACGGCGAGCGACGACGGCGACGAAGGCGACACGCGACGGCGAGCATCGACTACGCGACAACGGCGATGGCGGCGACGACGAACACGGTGACGAAGACGACGACGATGGTGAGCAACAACGGCGGTTGCGACGAAGACGACGACCACGACGACGACGACGGCGAGCGACGACGACGACGAAGACGACGGCGGCGGCGGCGTCGACGACGACGGCGGTGGCGACGACGACGGCGACGACAGCGAGTTGCCACGACGACGACGACGCGAAGGTAAGAAACCACGACGACGACGCCGATGGCGGCGACGATGGCGACGACGCGGACGGCGGCGATGACGACGACGACGACGAGGACGACGACGACGACGGCAAGCGACGACGTCGACGACGACGGCGGCGGCGGCGACGTCGACGCCCTTGACAAAGATTGCCAGCGATGACGGCGGCGGTGGCGACGCCTAGGACGACGATGACGACGACGACGACGGCGACGACGACGATGACGACGGCGGCGACAACAACGACGACGACGACGGTGACCGACGACAACGACGCGACCGTAAGCAACGGAGACGGCGACGGCGACGACGGCGGGGGCGACGACGTCCACGACGACGATCGACGACGATGACGACGTCGACGACGACGATGACGGCGAGCGATGACGACGACAACGACGATGATGACGGTGGTCTGGGCGATCACGACGACGGCGATGACCACGACCGTGAGTGACGACGATGTTGACGACGGCGACGACGACGACGACGACGACGACGACTACGGCGACACGCGACGGCGATCAAGGACGACGACGACGACGATGGCGAACATGGCGACGACAGCGGCCACGACGAAGTCGGCGGCGAGCGACGACGACGACGACGACAGCGACGACGTTGGCGACGACGACCACGACGACGACATCGGCGAGCGATAACGACGACGACCACGGCGACGGCGACGACGACCTCACGATGGCGTGCAACGACGAAGATGACGATCGTGGCGACGACGATGACGACGACAACGACGACGACGGCGAGCGACGACCTCGACGATGATGGTTGTGATGTCGACGACGACGAACATGGCTACGACGACGACTACGACGACGGCGACGACGACGCGATGACGGCGGCGCCCACGACGGCGGCGACGACGACGACGACGACGACGACGACGACGACGACGACGACGACGGCGGGCGACGACCACGGTGGCGACGACGACGGCGGCCGCCGCGACGACGACGGCGGCGATAGCGACGATGATGCCGACGACTACGACGAGGGCGAGTGGCGACGACGACGACGGCGACTATGCTGGCGGTAACGACGAAGACGCAATGGTGAGCAACGACGACGGCGACGACGACGACGGCCTCGGCGAGCGACGACGACGACGCTGGCAACGAAGCGACGACCACGACGACGACGACGTCGACAGCGGCGACGGCGACGGCGACGACGACGGCGAGCGACGACGACGACGATAACGACGAGGGCGGCCGCGACGACGCCGACGTCGACTCACACGTTGAGAGATGATGACGACGACGACGCCGCGACGGCAAGAAACATCCATGATTGCCGGCGACGACGAGCGATGGCGAGCGACGACGACGACGGCGACGACCACGACGACGGCGACGACGAACACGGCAAGCGATATCGACGACGACGGCTACGACGCGACGGTGAGCAACGACGCCCAGCGACGACCATGACACCGGTTGCGGCGACGACGACGATGACGACGCGCTGGTGAGCAACAGTGAACACGGGGACGACGACGATGACGACGACGGCTGCGGCGATGACGACGACTATGACAACGACGGCGACGACGATGACGACGACGAAGACGACGACGACGAGCGACGACGGCGACGACGACAAGGACGACGACGACACGATAGTGAGCAACGACGATGGCGACAACGTCGAAGACGGCGGCGGCGACGACGATGACGACGACGAACACGACGATGGCAAGCGACGACGGCGACGACGCGACGGCGACGGCGAGCGACGATGACGAAAACGCCGACGACGATGGCTGCGGCGACGACGACGCCGACGACGACGGCGGCAGGCGACGACGACAGCGACGGCGGCGACGAGACGGCGGGGAACGACGCAACGACGACGACGACGACGACGACGACGGCTGTGTCGACGGCGGCGGTACCGGCGGTGACGGTGGCGACGACGACGACGAACACGACGATGGTGGTGGCGATGACGGCGACCACGACGACGACGACGATTATGGCGACGACGACGACGAGCGACAACGACGACGACGACGACGACGACCACGGCGACGACGGCGGAGTCGACGACGACGACGCGCCGGTGAGCAACAGCGACAACGTCGACGCCGACGATTATGACGCGATGGCGATTGATCATGAGGACGATGATGGTGGTGATGTCGACGACGACGACCAGGACGACGACGAGCGACGACGACGACGATGACGGCGCCGACGTCGACGACGGCGTGACGACGACGCGACGGTGTCCAACGACGACGGTGTCGACGACGACGGCCATGACGTGACGGTGATTGGCCACGAGGACGATGATGGTGGTGATGTCGACGACGACGGCGACCACGACCAGGACGACGACGACGACAACGACGACGACGGCGAGCGACGAAGACGACGACGGCGACGACGACGACGGCGACGGCGGCTGCGACGTCGACGACGAGACAAACGGTGAGCGACGACGACGACGACGGCGACGACGGCGACACGCGACGGCAAGCAACGACAACGACGACGACGACGACGACAACGGCGACGACGGCGGCGACGACGGCGGCTGTGAGCGACGACGACGGCGACGACGAACACGTCGACGGCAACCGACGACGACGACGACGTCGTGACGAAGACGACGACGACGTGGAGCGACGACGACGACGACGGTGACGACGATGTTGGTGGCGAGCGACCACGACGGCGACGACGACGAACACGACGACAGCAAGCAACGACGACGTGACGACGACGACGATGACGACAACGACGCCGACACGCGATGGCCAGCAACGACTACAATACGGCGACGACAACGACGACGACCCCGACGACCATGGTGAGCGACGACGACGACGACGACAACGACGACGACAGCGAGCAACGGCGACGGCGGCAAAGAAGGCGACGACGACGGCGATCGGCCACGATGACGACGACGATGACGCGACGGCAAGAGTCGACGACAATGATGCCGATGGCGGCGACGGCAACGACGACGACGACGACGAACACGACGACGACGACGACCACAACGACGATGACGACCACGGAGGGCGACGACGACGACGACGAGCACGGCAATGGCGATTAGGACGGCGACGGCGATGGCGACGACCACACGACGAGCGACGACGACGACGACGACGACGACGACGACGACCATGAAGGGCGACGACGACGACGGCGACGACGACGACGGCGACGACGACGACGTCGGCGGCGACGACAACGACGATGACCACGACGGCGAGCGACGGCGACGACGACGGCGACGACGACGGCGGCGACGACGCGACGGCGAGCAACGAAGCCACGGCGCACGAAGACGACGATGACGGTGGCCTGTACGACCCCGACGACGACGAAGACGGCGAGCTGCCACAACGAAGACGCCGATGGCGACGACGTCGACGACGACGATGACGCGATGGTGAGCAACGACGAGCACGGCGACGACGACGACGATGGCGATGACGACGACGACGACGACGACGACGACAACGACGGTGGTGGCGGCGCCGACGACGATGGCGGCGGCGAGCGACGACGATGGCGAGCGACGGCGACGACGATGATGCGACGGCGAGCGACGATGACGACGACGACGACGATGGCCGCGACGACGGCGGCGGCGACGACGATTGCGGCGGCGAGCGACGGTGACGACGCGACGACGACGACGACGACGACGACGACGACGACGATGGCGACGACGACGACCACGACGACGATGACGACGACGACGAGGAAGGAGACACGATGGCGTGCAACGACGACGACGCCGACGACGACGACGACGACCACGACGACGACGACGACGACGACGACGGCGACAGCGACGACGATGACGACGACGGCGACGACCACGACCACGACCACGACTACGACCACGACTACGGTGACGCCGGAGGGCGTCGATGACGGCGACGACGACGACGATGCGACGACGGCGAGCGATGACGGCGACGAAGGAGACACGAAAGCGTGCTTTGACGACGAAGACGACGACAAGGACGACGACGATGGCGACAACGACGACGACGACGTCGACGACGACGACGGCGAGCGACAACGTCGGCAATGACGACGAAGATGGCGACCACGACGACGACGACGCGACGGTGATCAACAACGACGGCGACGATGCGACGGCGAGCGACGACGACGACGACGACGTCGACCACGACGACGACGACGCGACGACGAGCGACGACGACGACGACGGCGACCGCGACGGCGACAACGACGACGAAGGCGGCGACGACGACGACTGCGAGCGACGACGACGACGACGACGACGACGACGACGACGACGACGGTGGCGGCGACGACGACGACGACGAACACGGCGAGCGACGACGACGACGACACGTGACGGCGAGCAACGACGATGACGACGGGAACGACGACGACGAGATCGAACACGCTTGCGGTGACGACAACGACGACTAGGACGACGACGACGGCGACGACAAGGACGACGACGGCTTGGGCTACGACGACGACGACGACGGCGACGATGACGACGACGACAACGACGACGGTGGCGACGAGGACGACGACGACCGCGACGACGACGATGGCGACGACGACGCGACGGCGAGCAACGAAACCGACGACGACGACGATCGACGAAGACGACGACGACGACGGTGGCGAATACAGAGACGACGACGACGAACACGACGACGAACACGATGACGGCGACCACGACGACGACGACCACGGAGGGCAACGACAACAACGATGAGGACGACGGCGAGTTACGACGACGACGACGACGACGACGACGACGACGACGGCAACGGCGACGACGACGGCGACGACAACGACGACGGCGACGACGACGCGACGGCGAGCAGCGACGATGACGGCGAGCAATGACGATGACGACGACGGCGAAGACGATAATGACGACGACGACGTCGGCGACGACGACCTGACGCCGAGCAACGACGACGACAGCGACAACGACGACGGCAGTGGCAACGACGACGACGAACAGAGGGCGACGACGACGACAACGATGACGACGATGTCGAGTGACGACGACGGCGACGACGGCGACGACGATGACGACGACGGCGACGACGACGACGGCGACGACGATGACGACGAACACCGTGAGCGACGACGACGACGACAACGAACAGGGCGACGACGTCGACGACGACACCGTCGACGACGACGACGACAACGACGACGGCGGGGGCGACGACGACGACGTCGACGAACACTGCGAGCGACAAACACGACGACGATGACGGGGGCGGACGACGACGACGAAGGCGGCGACGACGACGACGACGGCCACGATTTCGAGGACCACGGCGACGACGACGATCCCTGAGGGTGGCCGCTGCGCCCGCCGCGCCGGCGCCGACTCCCGCAGCGCCGAGCCCCCCCGCCGTTGCGCGAGGGCCCCCGCGCCCGGGCTGCCGCCGCGTGGTGGGCTTCGAGCTCATCGTCGAGCGCATGCCGCCCGAGGCGAAGATTCTGGACGTGGAGGCGAGCGAGCGACGCCGACGACGACGGCAAGCGACGACGACGACGACGACGACGACGACGACGACGACGACGACGACGACGACGACGACGACGACGACGACGACGACGACGACGGCGGCGGCGGCGGCGGCGGCGGCGGCGGCGACGACGACGACGGCAACGAACACGGCGAGCAACGACGACGACGCGTACCGCACCAGACCCTTTGTGCGGTGTGAAAGAGGCACGAGGGATGGTTTTTACTGTTTTCGCCCTCCAGGGGTCATCGCCTGGCCCCGGGGCCGTCAACAAAAACGACTCGGGAAGAGACCCGTCGGGGGGGATGGACCGAAGCCCCCGCGGGGGTCCGCGTTCTGAGAAAGTCATGCCGTCGGGGGTCTGGGAAGAGCGGCACTGCGCCAGAGTGACCTGTGGTGCGCGGCGCTCGGGGCTCGCGGGGGGGGGGGAGGGGGCAAAGCCCGAGCATGCAGGCCGCACCTGTCGCACCGCGCGCCACGGCACGCAGCGCACCGACAGGTCACTCCCCGGACATCTGGCGCTCCAGTTTTTCGATGCGTGGACCCACGGTGGTTTGGACCACTTCCTTCGGCTTTTCATCCCGAGCCGTTTTTGCACAGTCCTGGGGCCCGTATTGAGGGCCTCCAGAAGCTGAAATAATAAAGACACGGCCGCTCCGATTTTTTTCGGAGCATCGGATCTCTGGGTCCTTTGCGTTTCGGCCGGGAGGCGCTCGTGGAGGAGCTGCTGGCACTGCGCGCAGGCCCGGCCGCGCGGCTGACGCCTCAGCAGGCGCTGCGGCTGCTGTTGGGCTGCAACTTGAGCGTGCGCGAGGCGGCGGAGCGGGCCGACCTTGTGCAGGCGGAGGAGGAGGAGGAGGAGCAGGAAGACGAGGAAGAGGAGGAGGAGGAGGAAGAGGAGGAGGAGGAGGGGGGGGAAGAGAGGAGGACCAGTATAAACCCAAGAAACATCAACGATGTTGGAAGAAACCCTCCCTCCAAGCTTCTTATTCATATTCCCCCACAGTGATTTAATTCCACTGAGGGAAGTGCCCCGTTGGGAGACAACCGGTTGAAGATCCTGGAGTGCGCCAAAACATTGGGACTCCAACGCCACGAATCAACCTGACTGTTGCGTCTTGACGGTCCTGAGTCGTGCCGCAACACCATTCCTGGGACTTCAGCACCGCGAATCAACGTACTTGTTGCGCCCTGACATTCTTCAACCGCTCGAAAACACCGTATCTGGTACGTTGTCCATGGGAATCCGTGAAACGCATGCAAATGTTTGAGACGAGCGTGCGGGGCGCTAACGCGAGAGCCACAGTTTGGAAAAAAAACGCCTTCAGTCCATGAAGTTCTTGCAAACCTTTCAGACGAATGTGCGCGGCGCTACGGCGAGAGCCACATGTTGAAAACGACCTGCCTTCCATCCGTGAAACTCTTGCGAGATTGTAAGACGAATGTTCGCGGCGTGAAGGCGAGAGCCACATTGACATGTTGAGTCCACCCGCCCTCAATATATAAAGCTGTGGCTAATGTGTAAGCTTCAGCATCTGTGATGAAAGGAAGTCTCAGGCGAAACGCCCAGCCCGCCCTTCCGAATGGCTTCGGGGCGCGACAAGGAGGAGTTATCTTTAAGGAAAAAGAATGGAGAATGAGGAGGAGGAGGAGGAGGAGAAGGAGGAGGAGGAGGAGGGGGAGGGGAGGAGGAGGAGGAGGAGGAGGAGGAGGAGGAGGAGGAGGAGGAGAGGATGATGAGGAGGTGGAGGAGAAGAGGAGGAGGAGGAGGAGGAGGAGAGAGGAGGAGGAGGAGGAGGAGGAGGAGGAGGAGGAGGAGGAGGAGGAGGAGGAGGAGGAGAGGAGCTGAGGAGGATCGGGAGGAGGAGGAGGAGGAGGAGGAGGAGGAGGAGGAGGAGGAGGAGGAGGAGAGGGAGGAGGAGGAGGAAACAGCGCAAACCCAAGACTCATCAACGATGTTGCAATGAACCTTCCCCCCAAGCTACCGAGGGAAGTGCCCCGTTGGAAGACAACCGTTTGAAAATCTTGAACTGTGCCAAAGACACCATTCCTGGGATATCACCGCCGCGAATCACCGTCACCGCGAATGTACGTACTGCGAATACCTTACGGCCGGTGCCGCCGACTTTGAAGGTAGACGACGACGACCACGACGACGACCACGACGACGACGACGACAATGACGACGGCGGCGGCGGCGACGACGACGACGACGACGACGACGACAACGCTGACGTGGGCCAGAGTCCTCGGGTATGTTTGTGGGGGTCTCTTCGGAAGGCTCTCGGGGGCCTCTGGGGAGGAATTCTTGACGCTTCGCCCATACTCCGCCCATCCTTCGCCCTTGCTGGGTGGGCGCTCATGGACCTATACCGAACTCTGAGCAGCCGTTAGCTGCATCCCTGCATCATGGGCCCGGGCTCCCGCCCTCTCCCTGTCTCTCTCCTGGCGCCGGGTGTCCCTGGCGGGCCCCTCCTTGTGGCCGGCGTGTGATGTCTGTCCCCACTGGAGTCCCCACCGCCCCCACCACAGGAGGGTTCCTCACGGGTTGGGTGGCCGGTCAGGGCTTCGGTGTCCCCGCATCGCAACGTGGGAGATCGCCCCCTGGCGCTGTTGCCCCCTGGTGCCTACTCTCCGACCACGCTGGCGACGTTCATCCCCGCCAGTCTGGCTTCCTTTCCGCGCTCCGCGCAGCTCTCTGCGACGCTATGTCGTGCGTGCGGCCATGGGCCGGGCCCACGGGATTCTCCTCCGGGCCGGCTCGTTGCCCTTGCTCGGGGCTGGTGGGCCCCACTGGATATTGGCGGTCGCCTCGGAGTGGTTCAGCCTTCCGTCGTACGCAGTGCTTCCATCCTGGCTCCGTCCCAGCCGACCAGGCAGGTCTACGCCGTCGACGCGGCCCTTGCCCAGCCTACCTGGCTGGTCTACGCCGTCGACACGGTCTTGGCCCTTGGCGCCCCCTGGCGACTCGACCATCGTATACCTCGCCTTTCCCCACCACCATGTTCGAGAGGATCGCACGGGCAGGTCACCCACCTGTCCCAGCTTGCACCTCCACCTGAGTGGTCTGACGCCGCAGCGCGTAACACAGAGTTCCCTGGCATTTTGTTAGGGCTGCACGTTGCCCGAGCTTCCCTGGGCGTTCCAGTTCAGCCAGCCAGCCCCCGCCCTGCTGCCCCAGGTGCCGCCTTGTGAGCTGGCCCGGCCGGCTTGTGTCGCGCCCAGTAGCTAATTAGGCTTGCCCGTTGGCCCGGAAACCCTGTTCGCCGCCTGCGCTGCGCTCTTCGCTTGCGGCCGCGACCAACAAAAATATCCCCACCAGCAGTCGATCTTGTCCATTGGATTCCTGGTTGGCAGCATCAGGTGTGGGGCCGATCCGCTCAGGTTTTCGGTGTCGATCCCTTCCATCGTTTTCCTGGCTGGCTCTTCTCTCGTTTTCGGAGAGGGGATTGCCACGGATCTCTTTCACTCAGGAGTGAGTGTGCGACTTCGGTGGCGCCACTTGTACTGGTTCCTGGTCAGTGACGCATTCCCGACCACTGGTGCCAGCATCACCTCCTGGTCTGTATTGCAAGCGGACTGCCCCCTTCAGGGGCTGGCTGCATCGATGTCTCGTGTGGTGTATCTTACGTCATGTCCTACGCGCCCCCTGCGGTCGCTTGTCAGCCTCGCTGTCAGTGACCTTGCCGCGCCATCTTGGCTGCGTGTAGCTCCTTGCTTCCATTCGTGCATCGGCGCTGCCCTCAAATCCTGGTCCTGGTGGCAGTTTGCATCGCCCGCCGACAAGGTTTGGGTTCCTGGCCCACCCTCGCGCCGCCCGGCAGCTTAGGCAGCTTGGGCAGCTTAGTTTCGGCCGCTGGTCCCCGCGCGCTGGGCAATTAGGCTCGCGCGTCGCCCGCCCGACCTCTGACGCTGCTGGCGCGTTCGCCTGCGGCCGCGACGGAAAAAGTACTCCCGCCAGCACTCGTTGGAGTCCCCCCTCAGCTTCCTCAGCCAAGTGGACCCCGACATGCTTTCCGCAGGGACCCTTTGGGAGCTGGCCAAGGATTGCCCCCTGGCGGAGACCCAAAACCTATTCTGCTAACTCGGTGCCGCCCCAACCAGGGGGCACAGCAAGAATGAGGGCTGGCTTCGGTTCGCCAGCCGCTCCCCCAGTGCCGAGTTCCGCCCGCTCACCGGCAGCTCCACTGACCTGCCCGGCTGGCTCCCCACACTCCGCGCCCCCAGGGCGCGCCCGCCGCTTGGTCGCCGATCCACCGAACCCAGCCCGGCCTCCCCAACAGAACGCAGCGCCGACTCCGACCTCTCAGCGCGCCCTGCCGACGGCGCACTTTCTCGGGCTTCTGAGTCCTCTACCCACAAGTTCTGTGCATCAATGAGCCCCTCCGCAGGCGACAGCGTCGCTCCGCCGGTCGTTAGCGAGGCCGCTTCCGACACCTCTTCGACCGAGGCGCCCGGCGCCCCGCCTGCCCCCGATCCCCCTGTGCCACCAGTCAAGAAGCAGGCAGTCGTCGAGCTCAGCCCCACCCCCAGTTCCGCCCCACCTCCTCCGGCTGGAGACGCCGCCCATAGTCCACCATCAGGCTCTCGAGACTGCAGCCCAACCTCGCCGGCTGCAGGATCCGGCGAGGCACGGGTGGCGGCGGGGATGCCGACGGCCCTTCCAGCGGCAAGGCCGCGCCCCCCACGCCTGAAGCGGACAGCCCCAGGACGAAGATGCCACGCGCGACGCGGGCAATCAAGGAGGCCATTGGGGCAACTGCGCTCGTGGAGGCACTATGACTCCAACCGCGAACCCTACAGTCGCAACTGGAGTGGATGGACAGACTGGACCAACTGGGACACCACCCACCGCGGTGAGTCTCGGGGCCCCGTCCGAATCAAGCGGCCGCATACTGGCGATAGGACTTCCCCGTGGCCCAGCGCCACCCCCTCGAATGACCTAACCGACCTCGACACCGGTCGGTACATATACAAGGCCCTTCTGGACGAGGCCCAACTCTCCCCCATCGGCGGCGAGAACCCCGCTTCCGCAGTGAAGCGCACGCAGAGAGAGCTTGGGGATTACTTCAGTGGCCTCTGGCACCAATGGGCCTACGCGCATCCCCCCCAGGGGGGCTTCGCCTGCGCATATCCCTTCAGACAGGACCCTGGATCCTGTGAGGAGTTTCTCCGGACTCGGCGCCAACATGGCTACAACCCACTGACAATGGACAGGGCCCTTCAGCTCCGGGTAAATTGGTCTGCTGTCCGCGACAAGTTCGCCAATCGGGGGAAAGGAAGAGGTGCCCCACGCAAGGGCAAAGGCAAGGATTATCGCGCGGCCAGCTCTTCTTGGCAGCCAGACCACGGGGCTACCAGCCGTGCCGCGAGCGCACGACGGCCCTGGGCGCAGCAGTAGGCTCCTCCACACGGCTTGACCCTCCTCTGCCGATTCCTTTCAACACTTGCCGCGTTCTCCCTGTCACCAGACGCGCGACCGCTAGTCGCCTTCATCTTGCGATCCCTCGCCATCTCACCCAACTTGCGACTGTTAGTCGCCTTGCCATCTCCCTCCAGCGCCCCCCGCGAGCGCCGGTTTCCTGCCGCTCCCGGCGCCCGTGAAGCCCAGGCTCGGGCGCTTCCTCTCCGCCCCCCTGGCCCCGCGTCCGCCTCACTTGCGCCCCCCCCGGCGGCCGCCCTGGCCTCGTGCCTAGCGCCGTCTGGCGCGCGCCCAGCAGGGCTGTCGGCCCGGGCCTGGCCTCCCGGGACCTCCCAGTCTCTGGCCCCCTTGCCCCGCCCCCCTGGCGCCGGGCCGCCCCCCCCCCGCCCCCGCCTATTAGGCGGCCGCCCGGGGCTTCT